ACTAGGGGTAAAAGAGACACTGTCTTTCCACTGCCCTCCCGTTGTTTGTCGCTTTGCTCGAGCGGGCCCAGTAACATCTCCATTTTGAGACTTGTTCGTACTGTGTTTGGCATATTGAATACGTCACAGGGAGCTTGCCAGGCTTTGCTGTGCAGGCAAGATACTCTCAGGAGGTTGCTGGGCTCTCTGAGAGGGGTGGAGGAATCAAACCCAAATCAGTCTGGCTGGCTGCATGCAAGCCAAACACCCTACCACTGTGCTATTGTTCCATGGGGAAAAGAGAAATGACCTTAAATGACAAACTTTTTTCCCCCTTCTTTTTCATGTAGGAGTACTACTATTTACCCAGCCACTGATCAGCTGACTGAATTGGGCATGAACTCCACCTTACTTTTTCTTTTTTTTATTATTTACAATGTTATCCATTGAATCACTGTGAGAGCAGTCACAAAGCTTTTGGGTTTAAGTCTCGGTCACACGATGAAACACCCGTACCCTCACCAGTGCCCATTCTCCACCACCAAATACCCCAGTATACCCCCATACCACACCCTCCCCTTACCTGTGGGGCAGATGATTTCCACATTAACTCTCGCTCTACTTTGGTCACATTCAACATTTTGACACCAGACCCACCATTATTATTTGGGATTTTACCCCAACACTCAGATCTGCTGAAATGACAAACTTTAAGTGAAAACAGGAGACATTTAAATCAGTAACGGAAATGCAAAGGAAAATCAGGCTACTGAGAACAACTCTACACCAACAGATATTGAAAAATAGATTATGGGTGAAAAAAGGTTTTTAAAAGATCCATTACTTCTAAGTTTAATCAGTCAGTCATGAAAAATCTCCCAGCAAAGTAAAGCCCAATAAAGGTAGCTTCGATGATGAATTTTACCAAATATTTGGTGAGACCTGAAGCTTTACTCCTGTTGCTCAAACGCCCAGCTCTCAGTTCCACCAGCTTCCACCAAAAAAAAAAATCATCTTGGAGTGAAGATCTCAAGATTAGACCAGCATCTACAAACACACTGAAGAAAACATATAGAACTATTTTGGATAGGGACTTCAGAAGTGTTATTAGTGATTCCACTGGACAAAGAAATCAAGAGCAGAAATAAACAAATGGGACCACACCAAACTAAAAAGCTTTTGTATGGCAAAAAAAGAGAAAAAGGCTAAAATTAAAAGATATCTTATTGAGAGGGAAAAAAACATTTGTAACCTATGCTTTTGATGAAGAAATTGATATCCTAAATATATAAGACTTAAAAACCAATAACTCCATAAAAATAAAGATTGGTCTATAGTTACTGATGGCAACATGTATGTCCTTAGGGGTGATGCTACATGGAACACAGGATGAAAACCATATCGCATGAATACTGTATTTACATGGAAACTACATGGAACTACATGGAACTACATGGAACACAGGATGAAAACCATATCGCATGAATACTACGCCTGTACGTCATTTGCAAACACACCCACACTGAACTTTACTTCCCCCAGTACACAGGCACCGTAACCTTCTAAAGAGGCTCAGAAGGAAAATGAAGGATGCTGACCCTTCACCCTCACCCTTTTCTGTGTCCTGAAGGGGAAGCAGTAAAAGCTTCCGTGACTGGCTACTCCCAGGAGAGGATCAAACTGCAGTCTTCTCTGTGCCCATACAGCATCTTCCTCCTCGCTGAGGTTTCTCAAGACTCTTTCCAATTGCTCTTTGCTCGCCCTTTTGATAGCAGACATATCCTCCCCTGACAAAGTCCTGGTGGGGTAAAGGAACCAGAAGTAGCATTGTCCCGGTACCAGAACCGCCCAACACTATGGGTTCTTCTTGTTTGATGGGGTCGATGTGCTCCCCTCTAATCCAGCAGATTGCTTCCCCAAATAAACAACACAAAATCCTTGTCTCTACCCACTAGCCTTTCTAGTGCTCTCTTTGAAACTAAGGTGCTTGAACTGTCAGAGGTCTGGGATTGCAGCATCTCACTCATGTGCTTGTGTGAAGCAAGGACTGAAGCACCATTGCTCTCTGAAAAACAAGTATCTGTGTCAAACAGTATCCTGGAAAAAGAGCAAACACTTTACAAACTAAAAAAATACACCAAAAGTGTATTTCCATTGTCAATTTAATTTGCTCAACTAAATCTGACCTTTTTGGATCACACCCAGTGATGCTCAGGGGTTACTCCTGGCTCTGCATTCAGGAATCACTCCTGGCAGTGCTTGAGGGACTGTGTGGGATGCCAGGGATTGAACCTGAGACAGCAGCACTCGAGGCAACACCCTACCTGCTGTCCAATCACTCCGGTCCCCAGATTTAATATTTTTATGTTTGCTTAACTCTTACATCTCCTGCCAACTTAGGTACCAACTGCACCATAATTGGGCATTCAGGTAATGATGATTTCATTACTCTTCGTCAACAAAACTGTTTCATTTACTGAAAAGTGCTGAAACACAGATCTTGGTTTCTAATTCTTTTAGGAAAAGAAAAGTGAAGCTCTGAGGAGATGTGTTAGCACTAGTACATTTTCCCCATGTACTGCTGTGACCTGAGACACTTCTTGCTCTAGGAATAAGGATTTCAAATTAGGAACAACTTTTGGCTGGCTTTTGCATCACTCCAAACTGGCTCACAAGGCAGCAGAGGTTTGTTTTGGTTTGGTTTTCAGCCACACTGGCTATGCTCAGTAATTCCTTCGCACTCAGGAATTACTCTGGCGGTACTCAGGGTACCATCAGGAATGACTGTGATGGAACCCAGGTTGGCCACGTGCAAGGCAATCACCCTACCCCGCTGCACTATCGCTCTGGCCCCAAGCAGCAGTTAGATTGGTCCCAGGAGTCCTTTACCTCCCTGGCGCTCAGCATCCAGATCCAGAAACGACCTGGCGCAGGTGTGCGGCAGTGCCCACAGCCTGGGGGAGACGCGCCCCCGCAGAGAGCTGGACAGGGCCACACACCACTCTGTTGATCCCGACACAGGCATGGGTGCGAATATCCCAAAGGTGTAATGATTCCCTTTTGGGGCATCATTACAAAAGGTGTAATGATTCCCTTTTGGGGAATCATTACACCCATAGCCTGTAGGACGTTGGCGGCTGCAGACCCCGCGAGAGATGCAGGTGCGCGTGCGTGTCCGTTACCTCTAACTGCTTAGAACTGACCCAGGACAGCCCCGACGCGCCCGCACCTACTGGACACGGTGGGTGGTAACGTCCGCCAGTCACGCGCAAGCGTCTCCATAATTATTGGTGGCTTTTCAGGACACAGCAAGGAAGCAAGCATAAAGCCTTGATTGATGCCCGAGGACAAAGTTCAATCTCAAAATCCATCTCATGAGGAATCCTTGGCTGAAAATCAAGTCTAGGTTCTTCGTGACCGAAGTGGAAGTCCCAAGAAATGTCTCGACTTTCCTGTGTTTCCTGTGTCCAACATCGTTTGGGGAAGGATGTTCCTGATGTTGATAGAATTCTTATGACTTGGATATCCCTACTGAACCAATGTAGAGTGCACAGAGCAGCTGCTGGGAAACGTCCAGAGATCGGTGTCTGCAAACGCAGCCTCGGTGCTGCAGAGAATGGAATGATCTGACGGCTATGGACGGAGCAGGTCATTCCCTCGATAGCGACCAAACAGTGCAAGGAATGTTGGATTTAAATGCATAATCCCAAAACCTTTCAGACTGAGAGTTTGGGAAGATCTTATAAATCGTTCCAAAATTAGACTGAAAACTCTCTTTCTTATAAACACTGGAGAAAAGAGTGTAGAGGAAATCTGAATTCAGGGTTTCCCAACCATGGAAAAAATTATGTAGAAGGTAACTTTGTTGAGGATCTGAATATTGAAGTCAGTTGCACATCCATTCTTCTCCACTTCCTAATTCAGACCTCCCTATTCCATCGGCCACTGAATTGCCAGGCAGTGTAAGGATTCAGTTAGGAACGGCAGAAGTTTATGCTGTGGGGATGGAGTCTCCTAAAGGAGAGAGAAGCCGTTTAAACAATATAAAGAAATCACTGCACATGCCAGCGGGTAGAACATACATGTACTTTTAACCAGAGAGGAAAACAATTATGAGTTCATAAAAATGGGATCCTTTTTGGGTTTCAGCACATAGTGCATGTCTAGAAATATGTTAACAACAGAATACCAGTTTTGTGTGGGAGAGAGCATTGTACTAATCAGAGAAAGTTGAAGGGAACACCCAGCACTGCATTAAACACACATCATTGAGCCTTTGGCAAAACTTAGCTTTGAACAATGAAAGATATTCCTCAATTCAACATTATATTTAGGAGGCAGATCATCCATAAAATGGATAGCAAATGCAAAGAAGTAAGTTTGAGTCTGGTCATTGTCTCAACTTGAGGCTTCATGGCTATTCCAGGAAGGATAAGAGCTTCCAGTAGAAAGAAACTTTGAAAATGTTAGTCAAACATGCTAGACAAATCTACATTACTTTCAGTCCTAGGGACTGGACCCTAATGAATGATCAGCAAAACAAACAATAAAGCAAAACCCACTGCATTTGCTGGGGGAAACTCCTCTCAAATTGTGACCTCCATGGGTTCATAAATCACTAATGACTGAATTTTCAAAGAAAGAGTAGCCTCTGTTGAAGGAGGTCAACAGGGAGAGAGGAAGGAGAGAGATTTGAGGGGCACACAACTAGACTGGTGGATAAAGTATTGAGATCCAGCAAAGACCAAGCCAACCTGTGTGCTGAGAATGGGGAAACTTTGTCTAAGTTGCTAGAAGAGGCCATGTGAGCAGCGCTGCCACTGACCAGTTTGAAGGAAAGATCTGGTTCTGGCCCACCAATCAGAGCCCTTCATGGAATGTTTCCCCAGCCAGGCCCTCCTGGCCCTCCCCTCCCCCACTGCAGAATGTCTTGGCCCAACATTCTGAGGTTTGAATCCAAACCTCTCCCTCACCCACTCGGATCCTGAGCATCTGCGTGAGCAGTTCACTGTCTGATACAGGTCCTGCCTTTCACCATTGTGAACGCTGATAAGCTGTAGTGGCCTCTGGCCTCGTCTACGGGGATGGCGTCAGAAGGAGGTAAGCCTGTGAGGGTGTCTGTGTATGTGAGAAAGTCTCTGCCACCTTGAAAGCCTTTGGGTTCAGAGTTATCCTGACTGGGGACACCAAGTTTTGAAGGGGTAAAAGAGGAGAAAGGACTGGGCTTCATAGATAGCTCACTTGCACAGCAATGGGAGCCCAGGAGGACCTGAGGGGACAGGGAGGGCATCCGTGGAGGTGTGTCAAATGACAGGGGGAAGGTCATGGGTATGGACAGAGGGAGGTAGCAGGCATATTGTTGCTTTGTGTGTGAGTGTCCCTGCTTGTGGATGGGGGAACAAGGCCATTTGTCGTGTGTATGGAGGGTCTGTTTGGTGGTAGCACAGGGAACACCAAGGCATGCTGAGTCCTTGTCCCTTCCTGTGCTCTAGAATAAGTTTAGAAGGATTTGGATTTGGGCTGAGCTCAACCTGATGTGGGCAGCTCAGCAGAGATGGTCCAGCCTGAACCTTGTTGAGTGAGGTTGTCTGTGTGCACTTCTGCCATGATGCGTCCACTCCAGAGCTGGGCTACAAGTGGCTAACTGCCACAGTCAGAGCCTGACCCCCCTGCAGATGGGAACTCTCTCCTGGCTGAGCCCAGTAGCTGTCCTGGGTCAGCAGACTGGGAGACAGGTGACTTCAGCGTAGTTATGACTCAGACTCTTGAGTTGTTCTGGATTGTTCTTTTGGTGAAGTTTGTTCTTCCATGGTCTGGCATTTCATGGGGACCAGTCTGCATTTCAGCTCTGAGGTGAAGAATGATTGGTAATCACATCCCCCCTCATACCCTAGAGGGGGGTAGACATGAATGTGTGTGTGTGAGAGAGACAGAGAGAGAGAGAGAGAGAGAGAGAGAGAGAGAGAAAGAGAGAGAGAGAGAGAGGGAGGAAGGGAGGGAGAGAATGTGAGGGGGTGTGTGAGGGGGTGTCTCTATGTCTGTGGGTGTGATTTGTTGGGTTTTCCTGAGTAAAGCCTGTGAAGGTCTGTTCCTTGAGGTGAGGTGGAATGTGCTGAGGCAAAATGATAGCATCCTCAGAGCAGTTGGAGCCTCAGGGCCTCTGTCTTGAGCGTGATGCACACAGGCTCTAGGGCGTCTCTAGGACCAGTCTCTGCCTGAATTCCTTGTGCGCAAGTATGGTTGCAGACAATTTTCTCTCTCCTGGCACCTGGTTTATGCCTGATGTTTAGGATCCTGTCACTGGGATAAAGTCTTAGATTATTTAGAAGATGTCACCAATTTTCAATCTACCATGACCACCAGCTCCAGAACTCTGGAAACCTCCCAGAGTCTGACTGGTGAAATCTCGGACCTTTTCCATCCTTGCCATCGTCCCTGATGGAACTGGCGTAACTCATGGAGCCCAGGACCACTTTCCAGGCCACTCTCGTGGGAAGAGAATGTTGGAGGTAGAAACTGTGACTAAGTGTTCGAGAGACAGGGTGGCAACACCCGCCAGTGTGGAGGGTTGACTGTGGGTTTACTGTGCACAGGCTAGGCAGTGGGTATTGTGCTCCTGTCTGGGTCCTGGGCACTTCTTGGGAAGAACACATTTTCAGAGGTGTTTGCCTTCTTAGTGAAGCAGGAGGCCCTGATGAGCCTACAGCCTGAGTAGACAGTCTGTCCTTTAGACTGTTGTCATGGGACCCTGTAGGTGCTGAGCACCTGTGGTGCGGCTGGTCCAGTCTCTGTGACTGACCCTGCAGGGTCTCTTGCCGACAGACCAGTGTGTCCAGGTACATGTTGGGAAGCTCCAAAGAGGCTGGAGGGCAGGGTGTGAGAGGTCAGTGTGGTCAGCACAGAGGCCATCCCAGGACACAAGGACCCTGGCCTTAGGATCTCCACAAAGCATAACCCAGTTGGAGGGGAAGGATGGCCTGTGTCAGCAACTCAGGGCTGAGACAGGGCATGCTGCCTCATTCCCATCAAAGGGCCTGATCTAGAGATGGTTGAGCCAATGAGGCACCGCTGCTCCCTGTACCATCCTCCTCTCATTCCCCCTCCCTCCTCTCCTCGGTGTCTTCAGGGTCTTGCCCTTTCTCAATCCAGGGCCCCCCCAGCCACCACCCTGGGAGCCGATCCAGATGCCCCCTCTGGTGACCTCGACCAGCGTTCCCGGCAACCCTCTGGTGCTGTCACCTTTTCCCATGATGCCCGTGGTGGCAGGAGCTGCCGGTCCTGGCCCCCACAACCCTGGACCTTGCAAGGTCATCATCCAGGTCAGCCCTGAAGCAGGGCTTGTGGAGTCATCCCAGAACCAGCCTGTCATCCTGACACAGGCTCCACTCAACTGGGGGACCGCAGAAGCTCCTACTGCGGTGGCCGGGCATCCTGCACCACTCTACTTGGTGTCCTCTGGGCCGGAGACAATTATGCCCACCCCAGCTACTACTGTCACCCAGGCTGGGACAGAAGACCATCGTCCACAGGCTCCACTGCCAGTGGCCCAGGTGGCCCCCATCACCCTCCCATCCAGCAGTGGGACACTGACCCAGTGGGTTTGTGGGGACAGTGGTCCGGCGGCCACCCGGAGCCAGTCACCGCCTAAAAGCTCCAGAAACCCCAACAGCGTCTACGAGAACTTCCGGCGCTGGCAGCGCTTTAAGGCCCTGGCCCGGAGGTACCTTCCTCAGACTCCGGACACTGAGGCCCTTTCCTGCTTCTTCATGTGAGTCCCTCGGGGGTCCTAGAGCTAATGGGAGTTTCCCAGGAGGGGACTGGGGTGACACCCAGAGTAGGGTCCATGGGAGAGCTGGAGGAAGGATGAGGACCCTGTCCCCAGGGATAGCACATACAGGAATCACCCTCAGTGCATCATGGCCTGTAGGACCGGTGGCCACACTGCCCAGCACCTCAGCACAGCCCCACTCACTGGCTATACTCAGGAATGCCATCCTGGGGTTCTGGCTCAAAGGCCCGTAGTGACCAGCCATGCCCTAAGCCTCACCTCAGTCCCCTCATCAGGGTTGGTCCCGACCTGTGGTCTGAAGGACAGACATTCCGTTCCCAAGACCAGACACAGCACAGATGTGACAGAATTCAGACAGGCCATGACTGCTCGGCCTTGGCGTCTCATGACGTATCCCCAGAGCTAAGAGTGGATGCCAGCAGGGCCACTGGACTGGGGTATAGGAGGCAGAGTCCACTCTGGGAGGGGAGATCAGGCCGATATCGGGGGTCAAGGCATGGGTGTGGGGCGGCGGGGGCTCCCGGCAGACGCAGAGCCTGACCGAACCTGTTCTTGCAGCCCGGTGCTGCGCACCCTGGCCCGCCTGAAGCCCACCATGAGCCTGGAGGAAGGCCTGCACCGGGCCCTGCAGGAATGGCAGGGCAAGAGCAACTATGACCGCATGATCTACTACGACATGGCGGCCAAGTGAGTCAGGCCTGAGCAGAGAGTGGGGGTCAGGGTGGCTGCAGGCCCGAGCTTCAGGGGCTGGTCCCAGATGGCCGAGGGGAAGAGAGGGCTTGGCAGCCCCGGGAGACCCTTCCACTGCGGAAACTTGTTCCTCCCGGAGCCGGGACACTTTTCCCCAGCCCTCTCTGGGGCTCCTGACCACAGTCTGAGGGTCACAGTCCCTGACCTGCTGTGACCCTCCAGGGCCAATGTGGATGATCGCTGGGGGTGCTGGGGTCCGTGTCCACCCCATTCTCTACCCTCCTGGGGACTGGGCCATGAGCATCCCCTGTCCCTTACTCATCCTGCTCAGTCCCATTCAACCCGACTCATCAGGGTCTGTGTTCCCCACACCAGGTTCATGGAGTTTGAGGCCGAGGAGGAGATGGAGGTGCAGAAACTGCAGTGGACGAACGGGGTGCAGGGCCTGCCACTCCCCGCCCCACCCAGGCCTGGGCCTCAGGGGGCTCCAGGCCCACCGCCAGACCAGCAGACAGGTACGGACCCTGCTCCCAGCTAAGGGCCACAGGACCTGGGAAGGCCCTCGTGGGTCTTGACCTGACAGGGAGCCTTCACTCTCCCGATGACCCCCAGACCTATGGTCAGCGGCTTACTGTCCACTGGTTTCTCCCTCTCCTAGCACACCCCACGCTGCCTGAGGCGTCAGACTCACCTTTGAAGTGGGGTCGGAGACCCTGGGGACACAGTTGGTCCCTCCTCCCGTTGAGGGCCACCTCATCCCTCACACAGTCACTGGATTCTAGGGCCCTGATCCAGCCTACAGGGACCCGTCCCCAACTCTGTGCTCAGTGCTGTGTGTCTGAGGGCATGGACGCGGGATCCCCTCACATCCCTCTCTTCTTCCTTCCTCCTCAGCCTGTGTCCCCAAGAAGGCCAGACCCCAGGCCCGGGCAGCCCGCCCCAAGACACACAAACCTCAGCAGCCCCCCAAGACCAAGGCCCCTGAGGAGATCCCTCCTGAGGCCGTGCAGGAGTACATGGACATCATGGACGAGCAGCTAAAGGCCCCCGACTCAGTCTGCAGGGCGCCCCTCGGCCAACGGGCAGTGGACAGGGAGGAGCAGCAGGAGGAGGCTGGGACCTGCCCTGACCCGGGGCTCCTGAGCTATGTGTACGAGCTGTGCTCCCAGGAGGCCTTTGTCACCAAGGTGGGCCTGGGGTCTGGCCTTCTTGGGGACACAGGCTGAGGAGGAAGGAAGAAGAGAGGGATGTGAGGGGACCCCGCGTCCATGCTGCTGTGGGGTCGGGAGGGTGCAGGGCTGCTTCTGTCCAGGGCTTGGCAGTGATGTGCGGTCTCTGCTTTGAGCTCTGTGTGTAAATGCACACCTGGTTTAGATATTTCTGCTTGTGTTTGTGCGCATGTGTGCACGTGTGTCTCTCTGTGTACAAGCATTGGCTCTTTCTGTGCATTTTTGGGTTTGGTCAATGTGTGAACATCTCTGTGTCTACCTCTGTGTGTACTGTGTGGGCTCTGTGCAGACACGTGCAGATACATGTACATGTACCTAGAGGTGGAAGAGTGTGTGTCTTTGTGTCAGGTGT